CAAATTTAGGTCAGTTGTTTCTTGGGTGTAATGTTGCCGTACCTACCGAATTTTCGGTATTTCTACCCTATTTACCGAAATACCGAAAACATCCTCATTTTTTACGATTTTTTAAAATAAATCAGATATTTCCAGATTTTGTACCGAAGAAGAGCTGGAGACTGGAGACAAAAATAAAGCTAAAAACAAGGATTCTATAACCAGAGCTCGTCTGTATTGAATATTAGATTAAACTGTCAGGTGATGAGGCTTTATGTTCAGGGGTAAAACAGAAAAATATTAAGAATCATATAAACAAGAACGGCAAAAATAGTTTGGATGATGGGTTGCAAAGGAGTTTGGAGAGCGACCAGTAATGCTCATTGTACAAGTTGAAATAGAGAGCTTAAGATACTTTTGGAACAGTTGCCCACAAAAAAACCTTACGTATGCGCCCAATACACAAATATTGTTCATAGATGGCGCTGCGTGATGCAAGCAGTAAGTCGCTTGATCAATTGCTGACCGTGTGGAGGCCCTGATTTTCCCTTCTATGGATTTTTTCCTCGAATTTACCGAATTCCAACGACACTGTCTACGGATTCGGATTTTGTCTTTCTCGGTTCGGCAACACTGTATGAGGGTAAGCTTTACTCAATGTAGGTATGTTAAGGTTGTTGAATACTTATTGAAGTTGGATATTTTATGTAGTTTTCATTCGCTAAATTCCCTTCGAAACATTGAATATTGAGGATGAATTTGGAAGTGCTTCTCTGGACAAGCGACGCATCCTATACGAATTTGTTTGAGACAAGAATATTGAGGTTAGATATTTTATGTACCTTATTATATGCATAATTACTGTACTGTGTAGAACGTTTGAATATTGAGTTTTGGCTGTTGTACAGTTTCGTTTGTTGTTAATGCTTCCTCGGTCACTGGGCGAGGAACATGTATTATAATATGCAAAAAACATAAAATCTCATTTTCGAAATTTTTCGCTATTAGAATACCTACTTCCTCCCCAGTGGGCGTGGGAAGTAGAATTGACGTGTACCTCGAGGAAGATGTACAAATCTTTGAATGTATGAACTACCTACCAATACATTTTGTATAGTATCCTATTCAGAGGATCAATATATTGATCAGCGAAATATTGAATCAGGCAATATGGCCTCAATGAATTCGCAGTTGTAAGGGAGCTATGAATAAAATATAGTCTCGGCCACATAATAGCATGACCAGGCATAAAGTGAACCCTGCTTGTCTGTTGGAAAAAAATGGAAACACGCAGGCCGTGTTACAAGTGAAACAGAGAGATGATCCACGTGCGGCGTTGTCGCTTGTTCTATATTTCAAGAGATTTGCTCCACAGATTTTGCATATTAGACCATTCTTAGAAAATGATACGACGTAAATCTACAAATTGATACATTCAAATAAAGGTTGATCGACAAATAAAAATTACTTACAAAGTTTGTGATTACCTACATTTTTCAGGTCGAAACAAGAATTTATCAACGATTGTTTTTTTTAGGAATGCCATTTACTTTACGGAAAATAACTAACGAAACATTATGAATATATACTGAAAATATTTACTTTCTGCGCTATTGCCACGTATATCAAATTTTGATCTAGAAAATTCACGAGTTTGTGATACATTTTTATGTTATGTCGCTCATGGTCATAAAAAATCAACGCCTCTCGTTTCCGTCGATTTTTGTTCCTGGATGCAAAGCATGAGACAAGGGTCCATCATCATCATCAATGACAGTACAATTCTGCTTGAGTCTTTGCCGCGTTCAGTATTATCCTCCATTTTCGTCAGCTTTTCTATTTCTAGCTAATAAAGAAACGCTAGTTCTTCCAGAGAACCGGAAGTTCGGGAATAGCTGTCAAAGGAAACCAACATGGGTATCATGTAAAAACCTATAAAACGTAAAAATAACCTATAAGATGTCAACTTGCAGACTAGGTAGTTTTTAGGGCGCAAACAGTCATTCCACGTTTGGTCTCTAGGATCGTTGTGAACGTCCATCTGTGGAGGAATCACTCAACTAAACTACGCATTATTGGTTGCATAGCTTTGTGAGGCTGAGTGATCCGGGTCTGTACTTTTTATCTCTGAGAAGAAAGTTGGTTGAATAGCAAGATCGCATCTGGATGATTATGTGTATTGATCTGCATGTGTATAAAATCAGTGATATTTGCTGTGTGAGAAAATCATAACTGAATATGCCGAATATGACGGGTTGTTTATATGTTGTGCTTTCTGAAGAGAGGTTATGTTCAAAGTTATAAATTACGAAAAACTGAGGAGAATTACGGGAAATCATCACTGTGCCCGCGTTGTGTGTAATTACTGTTAGCATGTATATGGCTTGTAATTCGACAGTGAACAGTGAATATAATTATTTCGTATGTCTCTCATTTTTGAAATTCAGCAAATTTGTATATGTAATTTCCAGAATGGATAAGAAAAAGTGGATGCGCAACTAATTTTTAGCTTTGAATCTCAATTAAGTGTATTTGAGAGAAGAACCCAATGTAATTATCATCAACTCTTACAGCTTAGACCTCCAGTAATGCCATCTTAGAAGCAAATTTTACATCACATCAAAGCCAAAGATTGATAACAAGCCTCATGACCTTGAGGCAACACGTACAACTAGGTGATAAGTTAACATCTTGTAGAATAACCTACAAAATGTCAAAAAAACCAGCATAATGTCAAAAAAAATCGGCATAATGTCAGTTTTCAAGATACGTGATACCCATTCGACGTTTCCACTCGTGCTAACTTCTGATCAGTGTTCAGGAATTTGGGAATCCATTTTGCAGACATTTTTTTCATGTCTAAATCAACATGAAAGATTTGATGATTGCGTTCCTATGAAATTTTCAGGGTCTTGGGTCCGTATCGTCAGTCGTCCCTACAATTGTAGGGCGCCTTTATGGCCTCCTTGATTGTCATAGTTTTCTACTTCTCCGTGTCAGAACTCTATTTTGAGGTTATGTCACAAACATCTATTTGCATCAAATTGTGCTTGCTTTTGAGTTATATCATGTTTTATCAGCCTGAAATTTCCTACAATTTAAAAAGAAAACATATCTTCACAATAGGAGAGCGCTGACGCTGACACGGGACAAGTGTAATCTAGAAATTTTTGGAGTATGACAATCAAGGAGGCCATAAACGCCCCCTACATTTGTAGGGACGACTGACGATACGGGCCTTAGCTATACGTCTTATTCCATTCCGACGGTCTAAAAATATCAAATCATGAACTACATCGGGTCTTCCAAATCTCTCATCACCTTGATTGGATAACTTTCCTCTTTTGAAGCAAGCAACCCATTTTTTTACACTGGCATATGAAGAGCAGTCATCATGGAGGGAAATCACCATGTCTTCGTAAATGTCCTTGCCCTATAACCCCTTCAAATACAGGTACTCAATGATGGCTCGATATTCCATTTTATCCATTCTCACGAAAATTTCTTGCTTCGTAATGCTTACACACATTGACATGAAACTTTGTAATAACACTTATGATAAATGTTATTTATTTTATTGTTAAGGTAACGCGCATTTGTTTTGATCATTGCAAATGGCTAAGGCTAACTAGATATCAATACCCCTTCGTAGTATTAGGTTGGGTATCTTCAAGACGTTAATCCGTGCTGGAAGCGACTTCCATTCAGACGGAATACTTGGGTCATCATTGCCTCGAGTCGCAATATACAAAAGAAGTTGGCAACAGTGTATCATCCCTGGACTCCCTTTTCGTTTTATGCTGAGTCAGGTAGCCGCTTTGTTATTTATCAGCCGCACCCCCAGACTCTGCACACAGGTGGCATCCCATGTTGTCTGCCTAGTTGCCATGTGCCTGCATGACCGAATCCCACACAGGGATTTCCTACCTGTTTGGCTGCTGGCAAATAAATATTTAAATGCTACTAGGTGTATCTGACGGTTGTCGGTCCGTGCAATATGAAGCGGTGCTGCCATATCTACCGATGGAAATACCGACAGTTGACCCAATTTAGTTTCTAATTTGAACAATATATCGATTGGGTATGCTGGATGCAGGATCTTATGCTAAAGTAGTAACTGTCAGGAAAAGGGAGTCAAGTAAATTAACCCCTTATTGTCGATTGTATCCATGAATGACTGCCGATTATCTAGTAATATCTCAAAATTCCCCATATCAGCACAGGACACATAATTCTGACGGCTGCGCCAACGCCAGGCAGCCAGAGCCGTATTTTGTTTGTTTTTTATACGCTACAGATTCATTTTGTACTTGCTAACAGCTCTTTTATTTAGAAAAGTTTATTTGCATCCAAAAGACAAAACGCCACAAACAAGTTTTACTAGATTTATACCCGATACATTATTGCCAACGTTCCAAAGTAACACAAAAATGTCACTTGCTGATCAGCTTGTGACCTCAGTAGACGTCAAAGCGTGATGGATACTCGTGGAAACAGTGTATAATATTCCCTGTCACATTCCTAACCTATAATTTTGGTTTTGGGCGTTTACCCGCCAGAACATATGGCTTTACTATCCAAAAATTAGTGTCAATCGCCGAAAATACATCAAACCACAATCAAACTTAATAACAATAATGATAATATATACGGCATAGGAACATTTGAATGCATTGGTAACTTGTAAGTTACTAACTATTCCATCAGAATTGCAGAGAAACTTGCACGAAAAATCCAACTGATTGATTGTCATGCAACCCCGGCAGTTGCAAGAAAATTATAGGAAGAATCAGCTGTTTTGTTGAAGCATGAAGCTCTACAATTTTAAATCGTCGACCCCCCCCCCCTAGACAGACTTCTAAATCCGCCCTTGTGAGATCCGCTTAGAAAATATTTTTAAATAAGATTTGATGAGTCAGCAAGTGAGCCTCTTACACGTTCATCATCAAGAGATTTCTATTAAGATATGTAATTTTAAGTTATGAACTCGTAGTATCCTAACAAATTTTTCTTTGTTTCAGGTAAGCTGCAAATTGTGTCTGCATTCATTGGTATGTAATTTAGATTTTTATTATAAGCTAAAATTATGATATGAATTCAAATTCAAAAGTTGCTGGATTTTGAAGTTATAAGTGTGATAGATGACTCGTATCTTCAGTTTGAAGTCTGGTCTGGTATATATAAACAAATGAAATCTGATAAGTTCAAGGCCAACCTAGGAACTTCTGTTTTTTCTTGAATAACTAAGGTTTGGCAATGTCAATGCATGACATATACATTTTTGAAATCAGAATTACAAACTCTGCTCATCTGCGCAAAAATCCAATATAATAATAATAATACGTAATAATAATAATAATAATAATAATAATAATAATAATAAATGCCTTTATTTCCAAACAGTTCTCAAAAAAATATATCAGAAAGAGAAACATAAGTATTAACAAAAAAAAGGAAAATAAAAAAAATAAAACAAATGTCGACTGTCTCAAAAACCACAAGGGGGAGTTCTCTATCTAGTGCTCTTCCACTCATCCCTTGAAATTGTAATAAACATTATGCCAGTAAATACATCCATCAAGCATATACAAACATCAATATGAACAGCATGTAAGTTTTTTTGAAAATAAGATAGAAAAGTGAGAAACGTGGTAGTAAATTTAAAAAAAAGAAAGTCTAGAATAATATATTCATATATATATACCTACACATACCGCATAAACAAATGCCAATATGAACGACAATTAAGTTTGAAAAAAAATAGCTAAGTGAAAAGGTGGTGGTAAATTTAAAAGTTTAGAATGATATATGAATACATATACGTAGATTATGCATCATATGAAAAAAAATATAAATAAAATAATGCAATGCAAACAAAATAAAATTGCAATTCCGAAGCAGCAGTAAGAATAATTCTACTTTATACATTCAAGGTAAGAATCACGCAAAACCGCTTTGAACTTATGAATTTCATATGATTTGCGGTACTGGGGGATAGGATTGTATAGCTTATATATATTATACGTAAATGATCTTTCATAAAATTTAGTTCTGTGGAATGGAGCGGTAATGTTTTGTTTCGAACGAATATTTACGGAATGGATGTCTTTTCTGAATGTTATTTTCTCGTAGAGGTAATGAGGCTGCCTGAGAGTTAAAATTGTATGATAAAAGTATATTGTGAATATCTCAAAACGAGCCTTCATATTTAGCCACAGGAGTTCTTTCCGCTTATGACTAACTCTTTCAAATTTTCTTATACCATATATAAAACGTATGCATGATTCTGTGTTCTCTGTATTCGCGTTAATGTATCACAATCTAAACATGCAGCATAAATTGGAACACAGTACGAAAACTGTGATAAAACCAAGGTTTCGCAAAGAATTCTTTTGATGTCTAAATTGAGAAAATTTCGGTGAGGATACAATAATTTTAGAGCCAGATAAGATTTTTTGATACAGTTTGTTATGAGCTCACGAAACCTCAGATTATGATCCATTGTTAAGCCTAAGTTTTTAACTTTATCACAGTATTTTAATCTAATATTATTTATGGTTATATTTAAATTCTCAATCACATAAGAACGGTATTTACCAAAGATCACAGCAGCTTTATTTGGATTTAATATTATTGCAATCTTTTAGAGAGGTTAGTCAAGTCACTGTTTATTTTCAACTCGGCAGCTGGCCAATCTGAACTAGGAAAAGAATAGTACAGCTGGGTATCATCCGCATAAACGTGTGACTTACAGAATTTCAAACATTTAAGGATCTGACTAGTATATATAGTGAAGAGCAATGGTCCAAGTATAGATCCTTGCGGTACACCTGTGGTAGTGGGCTTTGAACTAGATATTTCATTCTTCAATTGTACACACTGTGATCTTCCTCTTAAGTATGAATTAAAAAGTTTTACGCTGTCAGTAGAAAATCCACATGACGTTAAGATAGACAGCATCATGGTTAATTGTGTCAAATGCTTTGCTGAAATCTAATAGTATTAAAGCGGTAGACTCACCCAGATCATTCGACTGAATGATATCATCAGTTATTTTAGCAAGTGCAGTGGTGGAACGATCCTGGACGAAAACCTGACTGTGTTTTAGGAAGGATACTTTGACTGTCAATATGTGTTCTTAATTGTATTTCAATAATTTTTTCAACCAATTTCGAGAGACCAGCTAGAATACTTATTGGACGAAGATCTGATAGCTGTTCAGCTTCCTTACATTTTCGAATTGGCACTATTAAGGCCACTTTCCAGCACTTTGGATATTTTCCCTCAAGAAAAATTGTATTAATAAGATGTACCAAATATGGTAAAATATACGGGACACAATTTGACGAGATGTATGCTAATGCCATCATTTCCAGGTCTGGTGTTTTTTATCCTACTTAATGCGTCAAATACGTCTTGCTCAGATACCAATTTGAAATTGCACTCTAAATTACATATTTTGTTTTGATCATAATATAAAGCAATATGATTACCAGACGCCACACGAGGTATGCTGTCAATAAAAAAGTTATTTATATGGTCCACATCTTGCAAATCAATAGGAATATTTGACTTCTGTGACTTATCACTAAGCGAATTAAGTTCTCGCCACAAATATTTCTTATCCTTAACTCTGAGCAATTTTATCAAAGTACTTTCTTTTTTCCTGTAGAATAGCATGATCGGTTTTGTTTTTTATTTTTTTTATGCATTCCAGTTTGAATCGTTCGGATTTTTTCTAGACCTTGCTGCATCCCTATTAAACATCAAATTTCTTATATCATCCCCGCTAGGGAGCTTTAGGCTTAGTGATTTTGGACGTTTTCAAAGGAATGTGCTTGTCAAACAAAGTTAGAATTAAATGATTGAACAAGTTCACCTTTTCGTCAATATCTGACAAGTAACATATGTCAATTAAGGGAAGATTTTGCAAATGAGCATGCAATTTATCCATTTCAAGACTCCTAAAGCTCCGATAAGTGTGAAAGAGTGGTTCAATTTTTTGTTTATCTTGTAGTACCTTACACGAATCAGCTCATGATCTGTTAAATCTAATCCGCCAACGTGCTTAGATTCGATCATTGAATGATCGTTGCAAAGAATAACATCTATTAATATGGCATAAGAAAAAATAAAGTTGATGCTGGACGTCAAGAAACGAAACGTTATATTGAAATTCTAATCAAGTCATCTTGTAGAGAAAAAAAATGGCAATGTTAACGTCCAATTTATTTTGGATTCCCACTACTAACAAAGTCAAGAAAAAATTAAAACGATTTTGGTTTGGTTTTCAATTGTGGACAAAAACAAAAAACCGATATAGGGCTTGGCCAATTTAGGGCATTATCGACCCAGCAATTATGTGATTTTATGGTACTGTAAATAAGCGCTCAGTCCAAACGTGTTGTTTGTAGGGTGTGCGGTGACTGGTTGTTTACTGTCATCCGATCAGACAGAAACAGAGGAGAGGCGAGGATGGGCATCGCACCCTATGATGAAAGCGAAAGCTGCTGTCAAGCTTAAGATGGACACTAATGGGTGCTTTAGCAGACGCTAATGTTTCAAGGATGTCTAATATTAGTTTGGCAAGGAATAAATACAGAAAGAATGAAGTTAAGTTCACCTACTTCGTACATAAAATAAATGAATCGGACATTGCAAAAACCTCGAATGTCACATAATTTGAATTTCTCAGGAGACAATAAAAACTGTGTTACTGATAAATAAACCAGTTTTAAGATACTTTTTTTAGTAAGTAGTAAGTTTACTGAAGAGTGAGGTTAAGATTTAGTACTGACGTTCGATTCGCGCGGCCTATTATGTTTCTATATGCAAAACTTAAAAGACATCCCTCGTACTCAGCTCTCAGCAACTGCTTCTTCACCAAAAATAAGAGATAACATTTTAACAAAGGTAAACGAAAACAAAGATAAAACGTTGCCACAGCATGCCTTAAATATTTTCTAGGTATAACACCAATGTCACTGAGTATATCTGGTTATCTAAGCGATACCGTACAGAATTAAAATGAATACGCATTAGAAAATAGGGCGTATGAAAATAATGACGCGACAGAATCGGCAACAATGTCCAATATCATGGCGATAACGTATAATATCCAGGAAACGGGCAATTTTCACTGACAGATTAATTTAGTGGCGTTACAAGCGCCGTTAGTCAGAGATAATTGGCGATGATAAGCACAGGCGACCATTGAAAATCGCGGACATGGATACACAGTTCAATAGATACACATTCGTCGTGATGCTCTCTCTTGACAAAAAGGTAAATATTACGATATTTTCAATAGGCCCCAATCATTTATCCTCTAATGATTTCTTTTGTTATCCATACATCTTACAGAGTCGCCGCGGGTGTACCTCAGGGATAGATTTGTAAGATTGTTTCTGTTACACATTTATGATTATTACCTCACTTAGATATAGATAAATTTTGATGTAAGGGCAACATTGTAACATGTTTTAACCTTTGTAGGATTTCTTAATCATCAAAACGTGTGCGTCTTCTGAAATTGCAAGATGACAAAAACAGACATACCTATGGAAGTGAATGATATCAAAAAGCATACAAAAGATGTATCTTCAATAGACATAATGCTACAAGTACTGTGAGCAATCAGTTTAAATAATGCCTTGTAAACATACCTAATTATAAAATTAACTTTTATTTTTTAAGTCGAACGTAATTATAATGAAAGGGTTTTAATTGGATCCATATTAGTTCCATTGTTGTTACTATACAGAATTTCTAATTGCCAGTTCATAATTAATGTTAATGGAGTTACACTTTTCGTACTTCATGAGAATAAATCACTTCTAGCTTTATCTTTCCTTACGCTTTATTTTTTGTTTCTTTTCTTTAATTGGATCTGCCTTTTGAGTGAACGCAATCACAGAGACATTCAAAAGGTATCAGGATTTTTATTAGGCTGCCTTGATATGAAATATCCTTTTGGCACCCAATCAGAATTTATGCATGGGGCCAATTTGTTGACGGCTTTTAAAGACGCCTACCAAAAAGTTCACGAAACATTATTTTAGTATACTAAGTGACATATAAATCCGAACACCCAGTTTAAATGGTTTTATTTTAATAAAATTTTGTATAAGTTCTTAATGAAGCATAATAAGTAAATGATAAAAATTTCAAAATGATTGCACTGCTTTAAAGCCCTTTGACCTTTAATAATGTGTGGATGCACCCTGATGTGCTACGCAGTCTCCAACGCACCTAGGCATGCTTCTGATCAGATGGTCAATGTCCTCCTGTGGTATCTTATTCCAGGCAACCACCAACTCCTCTCGAAGTGCTTCTAGAGTGTGAGGAGGACGTTGCAAATTGAGCAATTTCCTACCCGTCATATCCCACACGTGCTCAATTGGGGATAAGTCGGGAGATCTTGGTGGCCATGGTAACAATGTGACATCATTATGTTGAAAGAAGTCTATTGTGACTCTTGCAACATGTGGTCGGGCATTATCTTGTTGGAAAGTTGGATCTGCCAGGGTGTCAAGATAGGGTAAAAGATGGGGTTCTAGAACTTCGTGGATATAACGCTGAGCGTTCATGTTACCTCTGATGAAGATTAATGGTGACCTGGAACCATAAGCTATAGCACCCCAAACCATAACTCCAACAGTGTGATGAACATGTCTTTCAACAAAAAACTGTGGATTCCTCCTTTCACCACGTCGCCTTCTAACCCTGGCACGACCATCGTGCATGCCTGAACAAAATCGAGACTCGTCACTAAAGACAATACTGTTCCATTTCTGATCCCAGAGTGACCGTTGTCTGCACCACTCAAGGCGATTACGTCGGTGTTCTCGAAATATTCATTTTTAGAGCGTTAGTGAATTAAAAAAAAACAGTATAAAAAACGGAATGTCCAACTGATAAGGCTGAAAATTTTTTCACTTGTTATTTACAGTAAGATAAATACATTCACCAACTTTTATTAAAATAAAACCATTTAAACTGGGTGTTCGGATTTATATGTCACTTAGATTTCAATGCGGGAGTCAATATTCGATGAAACATGAGATACCGCGTTTTTCTTTGATGTCCCCATTGATTTTTTGTTCTGGTCAAGTTTGCAAGTTGAATCATTCCAAAAGAAGATTGACATACTCATAGCTCAGGCGCTATTTTGAAATATCCAACTGTTACTTTTACGCTAAAGCAAAGTATGCGTCCAGGGTGTTCCTTAATGATATGCAAATATTTAAGGGTGTGAATCTACTTTAAAAATTAATGTTAGTTTGCTTTATAAACTATGGTCCATAAATGTTTCCTTACAAAAACTCGGTGTGTTGAAGTTTTAGGAAAAAAATGGAAATTAATTAATATTTTCAGAACCGCTTCATATATTTCATTGATATTTAGTATGAAGTGAAAGTTAATAAAGTTACATATTTTTCAATGCAAAAATAATTTTTAGCTTTAACAGTGGCGTGCGTACGGGTATTGACTTCGATATTTTTCAAGAAAAAAATGTTACGCCAATGGTTTTTTGCCAAGTAAAAATTAATTTTGAATTCCCCGTTCAATTTAAAACAAATGATCTCTCTTGAATTGTTTTCCTTCGATGCGCCATTTTTGAGTAAAAAAATAAAAACCGTTCTATGGTCTAACTTGCAAAATTATTATTAATTTAAATTTTTTTTAATTATTTTTGCATTGAAAAATATGCAACATTATTAACTTTCACTACGTACTAAATATCAGTGAAATATCTGATGCGGTACCCTGTATATCAATATCATCATCCTGAATTTCAATTCTCTAGTTTGACTAATAATTTTTTAGTTTGATTAAGGTGAGGTAAAATCGGTGGGATATTAAATGCCTTTTTATCCAAGTTAGATTTTAGAACATAGTAAAGAAAAAGGACGTCGGAGTTCCCACGTGAAAGCGCGAAAAATCCACACGGCCTTGGCGATACGACTAAAGAAAATGTAACTGTATCTGCTTTGGTTGAGACATTCCGCTAATCCAGGGCCAAACGGAAAAGGTAAACAACGGAAGCGGTGCAAGAAATGGTGCACTTCATTTAAACATAAAATTAGCCAAAACATACAGAGGGCCCTAAAAATTTGGTCTTTCCTTTTTCGAAACAACTAAGTATGAAACAGAAACGACCACGTAAAAAAGAAAATGACGCCAAGTAGGTTGACTGTGCACATCCCTCGCCACGTTGTCATCAATTGATAATGCATCAAGTTAGTCCTTTGAGCGAGCTACAAACATGTCCAACAAAAATATTAAATGGATCAAGTCAGCCAAACAGGCCCATACAATTAGTTCATACTCCATAGTCAACACCCATTTGATAACGCTGATGCTAGTTTCTTTCCTGCCCTAAGTATCCACCATCTGGCAACCATGCCATAAGCGTCAGTCGCATGCATCAGGTTGCCATCGTCCCGACCGATTACGTTTGTAAATATTTCTGTTTTGAGGGAAAATGTGCGGGAAAATCTATAATGCGTGAAACCTTTACTTATGGGAGCGTAAATTACCGGGGTTGGAAACATATACAGTGTGTCCTAGATTCGCTTCTTTTACACGGATCTCGACTCCTGTTATACCTACAGCAAAGTTTAACGGTTAATTTGACAGCTGTCAAAATGTGACATTATTCGGTCATTTTTTTTAAGACAATTAAGATAGCGTGTATGACATGTCTGAATCGTCTTTTGTTTCCCGCAACCTGCCTCAACCTTCATTTTTCTTATGGACGCCATTTTGGATTTTACGATTTTTGAAAAGAACCTAAAATTTCCAGCCTAGTGATGTCTCACAAGTGCATAAAAGACTGGAGTATCATCGAAGTATCATCACACGTAATGTTATGTATTATTTTTTTTTCTAAGGAGGCCATGATTTATTTGTCAGAAAATAAAAGTTTTTCCATCTAAGTATTAAAATTGTGTTTTGATAAATAGTAGGTACGTTTTCTCTTATTAAAATCGTAAATCTGACAAAAAAAATGTCAAAACCTATTGAAAATGGCCGCTATTCCCTACTCAAATGAAGAAAAGTTTGACATGTTAGCACTGTACTTGCAGTCACACAGAAACGCCGCCATTACCTCAGCAAGTATAGAGAAGCGAATCTGGGATACTCTGTATACATTAAAAACCAAATTTGTCTGACGGCACATATGCTAGACAGAGACAGAAGCCTGCTGGATAGCAAAGCCCATCACCGCGTTGCCTAGCAATGCTGACGCGACACTCTGCCGCATTGCCAACATGTTACATCGTTCCTTGAATTAAGATTCATGTTGAAAATATGCGTTAGTTTATTCTCTACGCCAAAAAATGATTTTATTTTAAGCCTACACATTTTATAATTGTGTATATACGAATGTGAATATATTATTATGTCCAGTCTCTCAGCATCACCTATGAACCACAATACAGAAAGAAGAAAAAATTTGTACACCGATAATGAACTGCCGCGACAAGTACCAAACTCTCCACTGTCAGCGTATACTAAGTGACATATAAATCCGAACACCCAGTTTAAATGGTTTTATTTTAATAAAAGTTGGTGAATGTATTTATCTTACTGTAAATAACAAGTGAAAAAATTTTCAGCCTTATCAGTTGGACATTCCGGTTTTTATACTGCTTTTTTTTTAATTCGCTAACGCTCTAAAAATGAATATTTCAGCCGCAGTAAAGAATCAACGTTGGCGGATTTTGGTTCTTGACATCCTTTACGATCGGTTACGATGCCTAGAGTACGGAGACCTGTACGATTTCGTCAACTTAGTGAGTTTGATAGGGGCCGTATAGTGGGACTTCGGGAAGCTGGACTTTCTTTTCGGGCAATTGCAGTTAGAGTGCAAACAAGTGTAGACACTGTGGTTAGGTGTTGTCAGGCATGGCTTCGAGAAGGCCGTACGCAAAGAGCAAGGGGCACTGGACGCCGCCGTAGAACAACAGACCATGAAGATCGCCGCCTAAGATTATTGGCCTTAAGGGACCGTTTCTCCACTACCAGGTCCATTGAAAATGAATGGTTTGCAGAACACGGAAGACCTATTGGCATGCGAAGTGTTTACCGACGAATGAGAAGTTTTGGCTTGTTTTCATACCGGCCACACTGGGTCCTCCCTTTAACTCGAGAACACCGACGTAATCGCCTTGAGTGGTGCAGACAACGGTCACTCTGGGATCAGGAATGGAACAGTATTGTCTTTAGTGACGAGTCTCGATTTTGTTTAGGCATGCACGATGGTCGTGCCAGGGTTAGAAGGCGACGTGGTGAAAGGAGGAATCCACAGTTTTTTGTTGAAAGACATGTTCATCACACCGTTGGAGTTATGGTTTGGGGTGCTATAGCTTATGGTTCCAAGTCACCTTTAATCTTCATCAGATGTAACATGAACGCGCAGCGTTGTATCCACGAAGTTCTAGAACCCCATCTTTTACCCTATCTTGACACCCTGGCAGATCCAACTTTCCAACAAGATAATGCCCGACCACATGTTGCAAGAGTCACAATAGACTTCTTTCAACATAATGATGTCACATTGTTACCATGGCCACCAAGATCTCCCGACTTATCCCCAATTGAGCACGTGTGGGATATGATGGGTAGGAGATTGCTCAATTTGCAACGTCCTCCTCAGACTCTGGAAGCACTTCGAGAGGAGTTGGTGGTTGCCTGGAATGAGATACCACAGGAGGACATTGACCACCTGATCAGAAGCATGCTAGGCGCGTTGGAGAATGCGTAGCACATCAGGGTGCATCCACACATTATTAAAGATCAAAGGGCTTTAAAGCAGTGCAATCATTTTGAAA